GATGATGATGAGCGACTCCCAGCTTCCACCGTTCGGTCTAAGATGGACTAAAATATTTCAAAGGTTAAATAATCACTTCAGCCTCAAAGCTCCTTCACACACACGGGAATCAGATTCAGGCTGAACAACGAAACATGTTGAACATTCAAACCACAGATAACAAAACTCAGGCTGGTTCACAACACGATGAAACAAATGCAGGACAGCCGGACGGAGCTGGGCGAGCGAGCGGGTGGGTTAATCACGCAGGAAGTCAGATTTCTGCTCAGTAATGGTCTGAAGAGAGAGAAGAGCCAAGCAGGAATCTGTAAACCCAGGTTTAACACAGAAAGAGCAGCTGTGCTTAAATGTTTCAAGCTCGAGCAGGAAACCTGATTTCAGTGTCGCTCATGAGGATTCGTGGCGTGAGCGTTGGGAGGAAGAGCGAGAAAGTCAGAATTGGTCGATTTAGGCAACAAACTGTTCTGAGAGGTGAGCAGGTTCATCATAGTCGGGCTTCCTCTGCTGCTGATCACCGAAACCTCAAAGCCTGACGGAGACAATGGGTTTCAAGCCTGATAACAAAGTTCGATGCAGGCTTTCGTCTTTACAAAGCTGTAACTTTACAGAAAAGATGAACATCTCTAATTTCCCTTCCTGCTGATCCGGCGATCCAGTCCTGCCTTTATTAAGATTCCCACGACTGACGATGAGAATCCTAAAGGCTGCATTACGTGAACTGAATTATCGTACGTTGGATAGATGATCATCTTCATGCAGATGATTTTATATTTAAAACACAAAGCCTTACTTTGCGGTAGAGATTTTTAGTATAACACAGAAACCTCATTTTATTTCAAGATTAGTCTGCAATGCTGTGAATTATGGGATGGCACTGCTCCAGTGTATCCTCTGCTAAAGGAGGTAATAAAGGAAGCACCGATGCTCCTTTCCTTTGTATTTAAGGAACTCAAACAGCTCACATCCCTCTGGGTCACTCTGAAACCCTCTGAAGAGAAGCCAGCTGACTGTTCGACTGCAGCTCTTACTGGTGTCCAGTAAACCTCACACTGCATCTTGCGTGCACTGAGCTGCAGAAAAGCCAGGCGCAGCAGGAGGTTTTTTCTTTTTGTTTCAGTGTTTAAAGGACAAACCTGGGTCAACAGATTTTACACCTGCAGTAAACCCAACACGGTAACAAAGTCAGGAAACCGGCCTCACGCGGAGGCACGATAGGGAGGTAGTGGAGCACGTTACGCGAGCATGCGTGGAGGCTTTGGAGGAAGGCATCGCTGGGGTGGAGGAGCACTGAGGAGAGGCTGGATTTGGCGTTCGGTGGTGCAGACTCGTCCTGCGACTTGTGCGTCCATCCCTGAAGAGCAGCTCAGTAGAAGAAATACACTGAGGACGGCAAACACAGATATTTGTCTCTGAGTGATATTTAAAAGTAGAAAGAAGCTTTTAGAGTGCAACAGACTGTAAAATCCTCCCAGGTCGTCTCCTGGTGCACCTCTGGATCATCTTCTGCTTGTCTGCTTTTTTTAGACTGCTCTGATTGCTTCTGCATCAAACTGCTCTGATTTTACACGAGGATCTGCAGCTCTGAGTGCAGACAGCAGTCAGCGATGGGAGTAGCAACTGGCTCTGAAAGTAAAGTAAAATTTGCTAGCCTTTGAAAAACCACCTGAAATCTGCCACATGCTAAATCTTTAATCAACACAAGTCCTAATCGGCAGAGTGTGTCTGCAAACTTTTAATGTTTCTGCAGAAGCTTCCAGGAAGCTGAACCTCCAAACTGGAAATGCTCCACAGGTGCACATAAGGAGGCCAAGAAACCAAATGCAAAAATAAGAGAAGGCTTTATTTTACTCACAGACAATGACGCCAACAAATATAACACCTACAATGGCCATGATGATCATCATCTGGAAGAAAGACAAAACAAACAGAGCCATCAGAAACAAAAGATGAACTTAAGAAGATGAAACAGACACTCAGACAATAAATCACTCCATCGTCTGCTGCTTATCAGCCTCCAACCCCCTCCTCCAGCTCCTCAGAGGGGATACTGAGGTGTTCCCGGGTCAGCAAAGAGACATCATCTCTCCAGCTTGTCTTCAGTCTGCTCGAGGTCTCTTCTAACCCAGACACGTGTCCACCAAACCTGGCTTGTTTGTTGAGAAGCGCTGGCTCCTTTTTGAGCGCTTTACTGTGGTCCTAGCCAGAAATAATCTTTCACTTTAATTTTAAGTAGAAACAGTGCACAAGTAGAAGTAACAATTAATTATAGCCTCAGTTTATACATTTTAAGGTCCTTAATATACATTACTGTGTTTAAAATATGTATAAACCTTCATATTACGTTTCAGCTTTCAACAAAATGTAAAGAAACCACAGCAATGACTTCACGTGAACGTCTGTGGACTGAAGAGAAATCAGCTCAACTTCAACTGGTCAAACACCGCCCCCTGGTGGTGAAGGTCATTATTAAAATTTGCAGAAGGTAATTGCAAAACCTACCTTTAAAAGAGAGCGATTATTCTTTTACTTATTCTCTGTCATGTGTTCAGTCTCAGCGGGACAAACAATCCCAGTAAGCCTAACGTGTTGTTTCAGCTGTTTTTTTCCCCTCTTGGCTCTGTATGATGTCACTGAGCTCTGATGGTCTTCATATGATAATCTGAGACACAGTTGTTGCTGTTCAAACCTTTAGTTTAAAGGGAGCAGTCAATCAGGAGAACGATGGTGTAAGCTGACGGTGGCCGTAAACCCTCTTTTTTGTAATTATCCCCCCAAATTTGTTGAATTAGTTCAGTGAGAACTGGATTTTACAGCTGGGCGATGATCTGTCTGTAGCTGTGAGGTGGTCCCATGTTTCTTTCTTTCTACTCAAAGTGAAGTTTCTCTCTATTTCTGTATAACAAGATGGACTAATTACATTTCCCTTGATGCTAAACAAGCTGTTTCTGCACTCTTGTGTGAGTCTGAGATAGAGATTCTTATAACTTTGATAATATTGAGTCATTTTTTGTTGAGCTAGTGCTTGTTTCTCTTTGAAATGTGTTTTTTCATTTTAAAAGGTCCTTTTTTTTAGTTAACATTGGACTAACAAGTTCACCACTAGGGGGCAGCATTTATAGATTTTAGATGTGCACTGCTGTTCTTTTAACTTTGGACTTTTCTTTGTTACCCATTTCCTTTCCCAGACTGTCGTTTGAAATAGAATGCATTTTTAATTATTTCCATCATTAAATAAAGACACTGTACTCGTGGCCTGTCCATACTTCAACTTCAGCTGATATCTCGTTGACTTTTTTATTTTTTAAAGCTTCAGTAAGTTTTTTGGGAGCTTTTGAATTTCTTTTAAATACAAGAAATTACAATAACTGCCGTTAAAGGAAGCTTTTGACGTTTGCAAGCAGAGGCCAAGAATAAAAATAAAAAGAGTTTAAATGAGCCGAGTGGGCGTGGCCGACTGGAAATATAAAGCAGAGACGCCCTGCAGATTTTAATATATGTGATGTTGCACAGTGTGCGTGTGTGTTGATCTAAATTCTCCATAAATAAAATCCACATGATGACATTAGAGTGAAACAGGCAGGAAATCACCTCTGATGGGGGGAGGGCGAGAGAGATTAACAAGAACAAGAGGTTTAGAGAGAGAGAGAGAGATTGGTGGTGACTGTGTGTGTTTGAAATGTGTGTGTGTGTTCAGAGCTGTTCAGTGTTTACATATAAATAAAGAAAATCTCATAACTGTCACTGAAAAAGCTAAAAGAAAATGTTTTTGTGTGTTTTCAGAGCATTTTGTTTGGGTCTATTTTCAGCGGCGTATGAATCCATGTTTGTTCTCTGCCCACTGTGAGAGCAGGAGTGTGTCTATGGTAACAGTGTGGGTCATTAAAGCAGAATAAAATGCATCACATATGATTGTTCAGATGTATCCATGTACAAACGTGTGTGTGTGTGTGTGCTGATAGGAGGAGTTACGTCACACATCACAGCTGGCTCTTTAATCCCTGACTGTCACTCTAATCCAGATTGAGATTTTCCTCTTCCTCTCTCTGACTTTGCTGTCAGTCAAACAGTCTCTCCTCCTCTCCTCTAATGTAATCCTCCTCCTCCTCAGGCCATCCAGCGATTGGACGGTCTGAACTGCACAGAGGGGAGGCGGGGCTTGATGGACTGATGCTGAGATAAAAAAAAGACCTGGCAGCTGAGGCTGGATGGATGAAGAGGAGACGCTGAAGTAGTGATGGATACGTTAAATGCACTTAATCGGTACATTAAACTGAAACTGTTCGTGCAGCTTTGTTTCTACCTGTTATGATCACAGATTAACAGGAAAACAACACATTGATTATGTAAAGATCATTTCTGAAA